TGTAAAACGTTCGTGCATTTTACCACACGTTTAAGCACGTTCCCAAAAAAACCTCTTTTCGCAACTCCCACAAAACACACGGCGCCCTACAGAAGCCGTTACCTAGTTCCTTGCACAACTCTCTCAGGGCCTTGAGGCTGTTCTGCTGATTGTACTCATGACCGTTGAATGTAAAAGACAATTCTCCTGCAAGTTCATGCCTGTGTGCTGGTGCTTGGGCCTCTGAGGTCTCTTCCTGTTCTTCTTCCTGTTCTGGAATCGTGTCCAGTTGGTGAACCTTCTGTTTTGGTCTTCTGGCCTTGGGGTTCACTGGTTCGATGAGTTCGAATACACTGCGTCCTGTCCAGGATAAACCTCCTAGTGGTTCTGGGTCTCTGTGAGGCTCATCCAAAGTCCAGAACTTGTCATCCTCAAAGAAATCCTTATTGACCGGTTCTTCTCCATACGTGTACCTGTCTGGTTTGAGGTTTCCAATGTCTACTGGAATGTCATTGGTATCTCGAGGATTGAACAAAGTCTTCCTCAACGAGTTGTGGTACCTCGTGAGTGTAGTGCCATCCATGCTGATTGACCATGCATCCTCAGTGTACTCTTCAAACATCTTTCGATCCTCATCTTCCTTGGGGGTGCCTATGAGGTTCAGTGGAAATTCCTTGAGCGATACTAGCGTAAGCGTGCGGTACTCCTTACTGCCATCGAAGATTGTTCCAAACGGTTCCTCAAGTTCCTCAAACATGATGCTGTGATGCAACAAATACCACTGATCATCATCCTCAATAAGCACTGCTCGATATGCGAACTTTCCTGGTGGAAACATCAAGTAAGTATCAACGTGTTCTGAGGTTCCTAGGCTGAAGTGGACTTGGTAAGGGTCTCGCCAGTTGGTCCAACCAACACGCTGTTCTTCAATGAGTTCCTTCAAGTTCTCGCACAAGTACATAGGGATAGGCTTTGCTTCTGCTTCCCAGTTGACTGCTCTCACAAAGGCTTTTGTTGTAAGTGAGTTGTTGTTGTAGTTCACTGCGATCTTGGTTGTTCCTTCTGTTAGGAAAGTGCCTGTTGCTGTTCCATCTCTGAACTCCCAGCCTTTCTTCAACAGTTTACCTACTGCCAAAAGAGGGTGCACAACCGATGAAATCAAGAACACTTCTTCAACCTTCACAATGTTTCCTTGAACATCCCGAAACTCAACCTCAATGATCCTTTGGTCTGAAACCTTGATCCGAGATCCTTGTGCATCTCGCAAAACTACCTTGGTAGTGTTGGGTGCCTTTCTCCCATACTTCATCCACATCGGTGCCAACGAAATGTCGGCTCCTGAATCCAGCACGACCTCGATCTCTCGAGTTCTCGCGTTCCTTGCTGCACGCGCAAACCTGGTGATGGTCCTTGAGGGTGCTGTTCTCTCCACTCTGTTCCTTCTAGGAGGATGGTGACATCCGTTCTCACATTCCTGCATGTTTGGGTGCCACGGTGTTTCATGACATCCATTGGGACACTCAAAGTAGTATCCACGATCCTGAGTTCCTATCGGAGTTCCTGCTAGATGCCATTGCAGCCATGCATCATCACTCACCTCATCACAGTCCTGAAACTCATCATCTTCATCACCAATCCAAAACTCTTCTGTCTCACTCCTCTCTTCCTGAACTTCTTCACCAACAACCCGCAAAACTCTTCCGAAGTACTCAATCTCTATCTCTTCAGAGTTCTCACTCAGTGCGAATTCCTCCGGAAAGCTTGTGGGCTCGTCTCCCATGTGGTACATGGAGACCATCCTAATCACTGGTCTTTGGGTTCCTTGGCTTGCTTGGCTTGTTGAGGTCTTGTTGGCTGACGAAGGGGCCTGAGTAGAAGTACCTGTAGTGCTCGCTTGCTCGCTCTGGTTTTCAAGGTCAACGTTCCTGGCCTGGTAACCCATGTCACGCATTTTCTGTCTGCACTGTGCTTCGAAATGTCCATACTTGTGACAGTAGTGACACACTCCTGTAGCTGCTTGGGCTTTGCCTTTACCTTTTCCTTTGTGTCTGAAGAAACCTCTTCCTCGACCTTTGCCTTTTCCTTTGTAACCTCTGAAACCTCTACCTCGGCCTTTCCAGTTGCCTCGACCTCTGCCTTTGCCAAAACCTCCGAAACCTTTACCTTTACCTTTGCCTTTGCTGTCAAAGCCGTAACCTTTTCCAAAGTCCTTTCCACCTTTCTTGCCTTTTCCTTTACCTTTGCCTTTATGGTGAACATAACCTTTGCCATAGCCTTTCTTTCCTTTGTACCATGCTTGGTTGATATCCATTGCTGCAAGACCACCATGGTCATCACCTTTGTCGATCAAGTCTGTTGTGGTTCGGTGAGGTGTTCCTTGCTGGGCTGCCAAAGAGTTAGTCCAACGCTCGGTTGACTCATAGTTCACAAGGTACTGACGAAGAGTATTGTACTGTGTCTTCTCATCCATGTTGAGCAACAAGTGCCTTTTCACGTCAGGTTTCATACCTTGAATAAGAGTAGATACTTTCAAATTCTCCTGTACCTTTTCTCCAGTAGCCTTCTCGTACTTCTCGATGTGTTCCTCATATTCGAGGATATTCTCAGCAATTCCTTTGTTGTGAGCGAATTTGTAGTTGAGAATGTTGTGAAACAACTCCAACGATCTTGCACGATTCGTTGGTTGATATTCCTTGAGTAGCATACGGTAAGCTTCCATACCGTTCTCTTCAGCTACATGCTTTACAACTCGGTACGGCCTTCCTTTAGTGTATGAACAAAGAACACTGTACAGGCGTCTGCTTGTTTCCTTTGCTTCTGCAGACATCTCAGCCATCTTCACTTGCTTATCATCTTTTAAGTTCCTTTCGGCGATGTCCATGATCTTCACCATGTTGGAATCCACTGCTCCAAGCCAGATCCGCATCCTGTTCCTGAACTCTGTCCATCCACTCTTCTCTTCTTGCCATGTTCCTGGGGAAAATGCTTCGGGGCTTTTAATCAGCTTGTGCAACTCCACTTCTCCAGGCTTTCTTTGTTCCTTTACTGCTTTCTCCAGAGATGCTCCTATCTCCTCAAGTGTCGTTGCTGCGTTCGTGTGGGCGTCTGCCAACGCTGTTTGCGCTGTCTTCTGCTGTTCCTGAACTGCTGTCAGGGTTTCCTGGAATGCTTGTGTAAGTCCTGCTTCTCTTTGACTTCCTGAAGCTGCTGAGTTCCTGATCTCCTCTGCTAGTGTTTGTATTCCTTGTAAGGTCTGTGCATTGATCTCGGCAAGTGCCTTCAATGCATCCTCCATTCCTTTTGCTGTTTCAAGGTTGCTGTACACTAGTGCTGCTAAAAGTAGCGACTTGCACTGTTTCCTGCACACTGCTTGTGCTCTCCTTTCTCCTCTTGTCTTCCTTTGGTGCTTTGAGCAGTTGCTTGCTCTTGCGAAAAACACACTAGAATAGTACGACAGGGTGATCCAAGTAATCAGTCCCATTGGGGTTCCTAAGAACACTGCTATGCGAATTCCTTGAAATACAACTCTGTTGGAAATGACTTCCTGAACTATCACATGCACGACGTCGTGAAACTTCTTTCCTACAGTTGCTAGCTTTTCTACGAAACTGTGAACATGTTCCTGTACAAATTTCCTCAGTACTTCTCGCTGTTGTTTTACTAGGTACCTAGGGGCGTAGCCTGACTCAAGGCTCTCACTCTCCTGGTTCTCGGTGTTCTGGTTGCCGTTCCTGTTCTCTTCCGTGTAGTACTCGCCGGTCACGCTAACGACGCTGTAGAGCTCGTTCATCACTTGGTTCATGCACAACAAAGCGTACGGTACCATGACTTTTCCTATCTCCACATAGTCCTTAATCGTGTACGCGTTTGTGTTCCTGATCGTGTTCACGTTGGTGCCGTCGGGGTTCACGCTGCACTCGTTGTAGCCTTGCTGGTAGTACTCGCCGTACACGTCGTAGTTCCTGTAGCGGTTCCGGTGCGTATTGGGCTTCCTTCTGCTCGACCACACTGCCATGAGCTCGCTCTCGTCACTCTCTACGTAAGTGAGTTCCTTTCTCCCACGGCTCGCATCCTTGGAGGGTAAGGCGTCTCCAAGGGCAAGTTCTTCCTTGGTCTCCACGTTGTTGCCAAGGGCCTGCCACGGTCTCACCGCCATACTTCTTGCTCCTGGGACCAAGATCATCCCGCACAAAGTTGCGAGGCTTCCCAGTGCGAAACCAACCAGCAGCACCATACATGCTGCCAAACCGTAGCACTTCATGTTCCTTTTCTCTCTCTCTTCCACCAACACTCGGTCGGGGTAGCAATCGCTGCAAGCGTCAAAGTCTCGCGCGTTTCCTGCTGTAACGTTGTGGTTGCGAAGGTGTCCACAACCTCTGCGGTGGTACTTTGTTCCTGAACGGACTGCGATCCTGAGCGTGGGCATGTTGAGCACTGTCTCCGTCTTCTTGGTGATCTGCTCATTTGCGCGCATCTGCTTCCATCCGGCAACGAGGCAAACTGCCATGGCGCCGAGCATCATGGTTCCTATGGCTACGAGTAGCATCATCGCTGCCAAGGAGGTTCCTGGAGGCAGCTCCGCTACCATGTTAAAGAACGGGCTTCACTAAGGGTTCCTACCCACAAAGACTGTCGGACACTTTTGTTCCTGGGCACGGTGTGTCCTGGGGTCTCGAGCCTGCACGTCGCGTGTGCGTGACGGCTGTTCCTGTACATTAACTGTACTGCACTAGCTGTGTTACTGTTCCTGGCAGAATGTTTAACAAAACCACACCATCAGACATTATCATCTCAAATCTCAGAACACTAAACCGCACCATCACTCTCAAATCTCAGAATACTAAACCGCACCATCACACACATCATCATCATAATCATCATCATCTCAAACCTCAGAACACTAAACCACACCATCACACACCATCATCTCAAATCTCAGAACACTACAGGCGGCGCCGAAACCATGTTTGTGCCAGCAGCATGACCTCGTGATTCGTGACTCGTCACTGTTCCGTGCTTACCTACTGAGCAACGGCCTGGGCTAACCAGAGGGCATCTACATCAGTGTCTGGCGGTTTGTATTGTTTGTGCCTGTCGCCATTTAGACCAGGATAGGCTGAGGCCTCCTGCAACCAACGCTGCAGGTAGGCAACAGCACGACCCTTGCCACGCACCTTGTGCACAAAGACATACAACCTGCAGTTGGTATGTCTGTCACACTGCACAAAAGCTCGCAACTGGCCGGAGGCATGGGTGTAATTGTCAAAATACACGTGGCAGCTCCGGCCATTCACGACGATGGCTCTGCTGCTTTCCTTGGGCATGTTCAACTGCAAGAGCTCCGGATCGGACTGAGGCACCTCGCTACCTGCTGCGACACCCGCAGCAGCAGCGGCCAGTACCTCATACCCGTCCTCTTGCTCTGGGTCGTTGTCCAAGGCCATGTCCACAGCATCCGTGGCACGTGCTTTGCGGGCGCCCGCAAACTTCTTCCTAATTTCTTCAGCCGTCAACTTTGCCACTGCAGACAGGTCGACCGAGCTCATGAGGTACTCATAGTACTTCGAAGGCCCGTTCACCAAGATTCGCTGGAGGTTGCCCGGCTTCTGCCACAACAACACAGAAGTCAGCAAGCAGCGAAGATATGGCAACGACATGCCAAGACCCTGAGCAGGCAACTCTGGCATCACGGCAGTGCCACTCAAAGAACTCACTCTCGTCGTCGCAGCGGGGCTTCCACCCCTGTTTAAAAAGCAACCTGAAATATTCTATTTTGGATGTCAGGGCAACCTTTCCCCGGGTTAAGAAGAAGTGGCTCAATTCCCAGATCGACAATGGTTCGGACCATGTGCATTCGGGCAGCAGCTGCAGGCTGCTGGCGATGCTCAGGGTCAAGTCGCCGAAGGCCCCCTCTTCACCCGAAAGAATGCCATGTTGTTGCAGTCTCTGAACAGCAGCAGCATTGAATTCCGACAAATCATCCACCGAAACATGACGCCCTCCCAAAGCCCCGTGACGAAGAAGCTCATGCAACAGATCCTCCTCGGCCTTCAGGAGGACAATGGCTTCAGCAGAAATTCGTACACGATCCGGGTCGTGTTCGACGACCTGCATGTCGGCCTGCCTCCGCCGAAGCTGGTTGCTGAAGCTTGTGGCGGGCTCATGATCCTGGGTGAAATCTGGGATGGGCACGAGGTCTGGTTGCCGGCATGCACCTGCAGTCAACACGTGCAAGCTGACGTCGGAAGCCCTCGGAGTCCAAACCCGGCACGAATGCATGAACACCTGCATCCGTGCTTGGTTACAGAAGCTCGCCAGCTCCAGAAACTCTTGCCTGTTCCCGCTGGACTGTACCCGCACTTCTGTGTCCGACAGAACTCGGACATGTGTGTGCAACATCACAAGTATGCTGCTTTTGCTGCGGCCCCGATCCGCCCGAACATCCTTCCGCTGCTCGGGTCGAGCATGCAGCACCGTGAAAAAGTACGGATCCAAGGAAACTGCTGGCACGACCATTTCTGTTCGCAAGCTCAGCCACGAGTCCTGAGACAGCATCTCCTTGCGTGGCACATCTGCCTCCTCTTCCGGCTGCCTGGGTGTGTAGCGGAGGGCAAGCTGGAAGGCCTCCTCACCCAGAGACACCAGGCTGCCGTTCCGGAGATGGCTCTTCAGGAAGTGCACAATCTGATGAGGGGCTGGGTCCAGCTTCAACGGCACGGAGTCTTCCGTGCGGGCAGCAGCCGAGGCATCCAGCAACGCCTTTTGGTACACGGCCTGGGCAGTTGCCTCCTCGCTCACGTCCATGAAGTGCTGGTCTGGGTGGTATGCATACACCTTCGCCAATCTCTGCACAAGTGTCATTCGCCTGACTGTTTGCTTCGGCAAGCAATGCTCAAGCAGTTGTTCAAAGATCAGCCTATCACGCCAGTGTGCTACAAGAAACTGCAGCTGCTGGGGATCACCAATCATGGCCACGACCTGCTTCTCTCGCTTCCGGCTCGCAACAACCGCAGGGCCGGCATATCGCTGGCCTCTCCTCGCAGCGTTGCGAATCTCGGAGTGCTGTCTCTCTGTGCCTCGCTCCGCGAGGCTGCAGAAAGAATACTCTTGCACCAGGGTCCACGCCTCGGCATAATGGCGCAGGGGCAACTCCGAGTCTGCAAAAGCTTTCAGCTGCCGGCTTTCCAACGTCTGACCGGAAAAGGCTCGAAAGGACACTGCATCCACAAAAGCACCACCTGTTGTCGCCTGGGAATACTGACGAAAGCCTTCCGAAATGGCGGCCTTGCAACGAGCCCAGGGGATGCCAGTGTACCCCCATATGCTGCACAGACCACCCAAGGGATGGTCTGTGCATATGCAAACTTCTGCTCGAGGACCACGCGAAGTTGCTCTGTCGCGAGTGCATCTATCGCCGTAACACGTGCTCGGACATCAGCCGGTGCAGCGAGCATCTCCGAGATGTACTCTGTGCGGGCCTGGTTTGTAAAGTATTGGATGAGGTCCGTCATCTTCCCGCAGGCCAGCTCTGGAAGCCTCTTCCCCTTCCAGCAACAAGTGCCAGATCCAGTTTCTTCCATCGTTGTTTTTCGTCGCTTGGAGGCTGGCTGGGAAACCAATATATGTTCGTGACAGAAACAACCCTCGATCCAATGTGCAAGCCGGGTTGCCGCCTCCGCGAACTTCCCAGCCCACACAACCATCCAACCATGCATGCCATCTTCAAGAATCTCCGTGATCTGCTTTGCGATCTGCACATCGGAGCCAAATTCCTCTGGCCTCCAGTGCCTCGGCAGCACCAACCGAAGAGGGGCCCACTGGCTCAGGACACGATGCAAACTGTCCCATCGCCATTCGAGGAGGTTGTCGCGGAAGCTATGCAACGCCTGCTTGTCTGCTGCTGTGCCCGCCCCCGCATCGAGCATCTTGACCTCGACTACTTCTTGGTAGCTGCGGGGTGTGAGCAGCCTGCACACCGTGTTCAGCTGCTTGTGCAGTACCTCAAACTCAGGTACACTCTTCACTACAGCCTCCAGGTTGTTGAACACCACGTGCAAAGAACCAGGTATTTCCAAGGCTTCCGGAAAAAAAGGTAGTGCTCGCACCCTCTCATGTGCGGCGGCGGCGGCGGCAGCTCCTGTGTCCCTGGCAAATCCCCGCACTGCCTCCCTGACGTTGGCTGCAGTATCTAAGGGGTATTTGCAGATCAACCGCTCCGTCCCCTGATCCGACAAGAAACCTCTCACTTCGCCTCTGTACTGTGGGAGAGCAACCGCTGTGTTCTCCAGGCATATGATGTGCAGAACTCGCATGGTTTTCAGAGCTGCCGAGCTCTCACCTCGAGCGATGGTGGTCACTACCATGGTCCTCCGTTCCACGGCGAACCCTCTCCACGGATCTACTTGCCCGCTTGCATCCACTGGCACACGATGGACACTGTCTCTAGTCATCAGTTCTTCTGTGACCAGGAAGTAGTCGTAGTTTGCTTGCGGACTGCTGTCTGCCGACAAAAACCTGACCGTTCTTCGATCTGGCTGGTTCGGCTTCGCGAAAACCGTCCGGCTCAAGCACAACAATCCAGCTTCACGAGAATCGTTCGCACGTGGCTCTTGGAGGGATTCACGTCTTCTTGGTTCGTGTTCTCAGCCAGCACATCCATCATTCGAAGCACAGTTTGCACCACCTCAGCCACGGCCGCTGTGGAGCTCAAGGAATAGCAGAGTTTTCCCATCAGAATCTCGGTCATGGGGCGCCTTCGGATGGCCTTGCCTTTTGTCGAAACCTGCACATCCCAAAGAAGATCCGCTAAATCGTCCCCTACACCGGCACCATCAGGAGCCTCTTCAGTGTCCCCTGCCTCAGCGGGGCCTACAGTGTTTGCAGGCTGCAGAGGCAGGGATGGCACGGAAGGAGGCTGAGGCTCAGGAGGAGCAGACGGAGCAGACTCAGACTCTGCAATGGGCTCTTCGGAAAACGTCCGAAACCCCATGCTCCGACAAACCCCTTTAGGTACAGCAAGAACAAGTTCACGGGCTCTCAAACTGTCGAGAATTGCAACCGGCACCTTCCAAAAACTCACCGAGCGCCGAGGTCTCAACAATTCCTGCGGAGCCCCGCAGGCTCTCATATGCTGTCGGCAGTGTTCGGACACAGGTTGCTGTTTCACGATCTGCTTGCCGGGGAATGCATCTTGCTTTCGCAAAATGCACCGCCGGGCCGGGAAGTGAAACACATTGGCGACGTGCAGCTTACAAAATTGGCCGGCTGAACCTTTCCCAAGTTGCGAGTCCTGGGCTTCCCGGTCCCGTCGTCGCAAAGGTCGAGACATCCACGCATCGTGATGCGAAGCCAACTCACCGGCCGCACACGCATCCGGAGCACTTTGCAGCGACTCTGCGAACTCCACCAAGTAGTGGACCCCGACACACTGCACCGTTTCACCAGACACTTCTGCATCAGCTATGTCACTTGCACAAAACGGCACGAACACAGGCGGCTCACGCCGAGCACGAGCGGCATCCGCCTCGTTCTTTTTGTGCTGCCGTCTTTTCTTGGTAGCTTCTGGTGTGCTGATTCGTTCCAAATCAGGCTCCATGCTTAAAGTGCTTGCAAACGGCTGACAACAACGGTTTTGTGACGGTTTAGGGTTTAGGGTGTTTCGGATTTAGGGTTTAAACAACGGTTTTGTGACGGTTCAGGGTTTAGGGTGTTTAGGGCCTAGGGTTTAGGGCAGTTTTGTTGTAGTCGAGTAAAATACGGCTGCGACGCGACATCTGACGAGGGGCTGAACACACACATCACACACATCCCACAAAACAACATACCTCAAGACTTTTTTTGAAACCGGACTTGATGACTGCCAGCACTGCCCTCCGCTGCTCTTCAGCTGAGGCCCGAAAACCGTAACACCGCATTAATTATTCCACTCCGAAGGACAAGCACTCCAAGTAACGACCACCGAATGTCGATGCCACATCTCCCTGATTACACGCGGAATGTCCAGGAGCACACAATCCTGAATGTCCTGATGCACCTGCACGTCAATGTTAAAGACCCGCTTGGCCATAAGACAATAGCTGCAAGCATGCACTAAATCATCGACTTCGAAGCTTCCCACACCATTCTCCTTATCCAGTAGGACTGCATGCAGTTTCCCCTGAAAAGGCACAAGAAAGACCGGCAGATACCACCCTGTCAGTTCAGCAACCTGTAGAGGATGCCGCCAGCTTTCCCAGATATGTGGCAGGAAGTAGCCAAGGGCAGCAGTGTGCTGCAGCGCCAGACCGTCAGCTCTAGCATTCCACTCCGGCTTATTCTGCGCCAATGCAGCTACGTCTCTTGAATCACTTGGTCCCTTCGGAAGCAAACCATACCTCAAGACTTAAAAACACAACGCAAGCCACACAATTTTGTCGACCCTAGACTCAAACCCTAAAAGTTTCCAGTCCAATGGCCAAATCACGCTTCGAGACCAAATGCCTGTCCGGTGGCCCAAATATTTTCGGGTACGTGTGTAGAGCAAAAAACACCATGTTTTCAGTGAACCCCCCCATGAGAATTACGCGAACCCCCTTTTTACCCCCCCCACGGCTGTAGATGAGAACTTCACATGTGCAAGTGCTTACTGCTTATTGCCAACGGAATCGGAGCGATATTGGCAGCAGCGTCCCACCCTCCGGTGATAAGGGATTCTAGAATAGACTTTCTGGGAAACCTGGACGGCACAGGCGTGGCTCATGGAGACAATGTTCAAATGTTCAAATGTTCGATCCAGCCTGTCCCTCAGCAGTACGAACTAGAGGGGTCAGGCAAGCATGGTGCTCGGTACCTCAAGGTCAAGCCTTGCAGGTCGTAGCAGCGTGCTCGTATGGGTGTGAATCTGAACACATCCCATAATGCGGCATATTTCTTTTTCTACTCACCAAGTCGCTCAGTGGCCACGTCTCGCGCCCATGTCTCAAGCCTTCCTTCATGGAGGCTAGCTGAACCACGGCCCTCCCAATATGCAGCTCTCAGCTGCTGGCCCACTCTGTGACTCACGAAGCAGATGTTGTCGAGCAGTTCGTCAGCAGTTTGCCGGGCACTGAAGATGCTTTGCATTTCGTACGCCTCTGCTGTTTCACAACATGTGTGGCCCAGCACGTGGTTCAACGCAATCTCATCTAATCCGCAACGGCAGCAATGGGGAAGTGTGGTCACACAGTTGCCCGTCGCAAAGAGTGGCACAGGCCACTTTCCCGTGATGCGGATCAGCCACCAAAGTCTGACATTGCGCCATGAGGTCTTGTGGCCTATACTGAGCAGCTGATGAACCAGGCTCTCCGGGTTGTCATCCAGCTGATTAAAGCGGCAATCAAGGCCTGGGAGCTGTTTAGAGGCAGCTTGCAGGTATGCTTCCTTGTCCAAAGCTGTGAGCAGCGGCAAAACAACTCCCACTTTGTATCGCCGTAGTGCATTTTTTCTGACTGCAGCATCTTGCCCTGCGATCTGCAGTAGGCCATCCGGGATTTCACCCCATTCGAAGATTGTAGGAATGGGGCTCGACAGGCGGGGGTCATTCATCAGAGCACGTGCTCGACTGGCCCAGGACTCACAAGGTAATTGCAAGGCCAATCTTAACAACGTCTTCACCGGATGCTGAACAGGTAACAACAAGATTTTATTAAAAAACAAAACAGTTTTCAAAATCATTGCAGATCCAAGGCGCAGCGGCCAACCTATTTCTCTGACACTTAATCGAGCACTTACATTACGCAGGTCATTTCGAGCACCGAGGATGGTTCTTGCCCAAGCAGCTTGCAACTCGTTCAATCTTGTCTCTGCTCCGGGTGCGAGCGCCAACAACTCGGCCCCGTAAAGCACTGCAGGCTCGACTCTTCGCGGCACTTCTAATGCTTCCACTGGGATGGAGAGGCCAGTGGACTCCGCCATATGGAAAAATTCTTCAAAGGCAGTTCGTCCTAGGATACAAACCTTGTCCAACCGCGTAGCAAAAGAGAACCAAGGGTCAATTTCAATTCCAAGAAGCTTATACACAGGCACATGCCCTTCGGCCGGCGGGGCATCGTAGCATGCCATGGTGGCTGTTTTGGACGGACCAAAGTTGAAAGCTGCTTTGGCTAACCGTGCATACTTTCCTAAGCCTTCGTTCAAGACTGCTTCCACAGATTGCGCATCTGGATAAGGTGCAGAGACGTCATCTACAAAAAACAACGGCCCAACCGACTCAACCCCCAAAAGCTCCATGCAAAGCACCCTGTCATGAAAAGACTCCATGCTGTCCAGAGCATGAACCGCGAAACTACGGGCAGAACTAACTTCACCACGGTTAAGGAAATGCTTAATGGCAGTTGCACACTGCTTCGGATCAACCGAACAGGGAGGCGCCTCAGGCGGAGGGGCTGGGATGAATCTAGTCCAACAACCTTCCATTGCTGCCCTAGCGAAGTCAGGCAAAACTGTACGTGATGTGGCAGCCACTGCATCCATTACTTGTCTCAAAACATGCATGGACGACATGAAAGCGTGCATTGAGAATCGTCTTCCTTGTGGGATACCTGCAGCACCCTTCAGGATCGAAGACAAAAACCCATTAATGACGACAGCAGCACGGTCTTGTTGGAAAAAGTCGTCCAAAAGCAACCACTCTTGCCCTACTACCCCCGCCGAAAAGCAGCTGAGCAACATTAGATTCCAGTCTGCTACGTCAAAAGCATACTTAAGGTCCGCAAACAACAAGTATGTCAAGAGTCCTTGGTACTGCCGAAGCTGGGCATGCAGCACCAGCGTTACGACAACGGCTACTGCGTCAAACTTGCCGCCAAACTGCATGTGGCCTGTGTAATCATCAAGGAACGGTTTACATCGTCCCATCCACAGCGAGTCTTGCAGGGAGGAAAGGTCAGAGGCTCGACTGATTGGCCTCAGATTTTTGACCTTATCGACGGTAGAAGGACCTGCCTTACGGATGGGAGAGACGTGGCGAAGACCCCAGCATTTTGGGGACATCGCGCACGTCCTGCCCAAATTGCACAGGGTGAGAGATAGTTCTCGTCCTGCAGAGCATTCGGCCTTAAGCGCAGCCAAGGGACAATGCACTGACTTTTTCGATTTGACTACTTTTTGCAAAGAGGTTTCTAATTCAACCATACTGTAGGGCTCGGTTCGGTCTGCAGTGGTGTGCGGCGGTGGTTGTACCCAGAAATTTTGAACAACCACGCCCGATGCAGGAGCTTGCTGCCGCCTGATTTCCTTGACGGATTCTTCTAACAAACTTCGGGCAGGGGTGTAATCGAACGAGGAATCATTGCTTCGACTAAACAAGTCACGGCTAATGATCTCAGCACATTGCTGCGATGACGCTTGCACTTGTGTCAACGGGTCTTGCAAAGCAATTCGAAACAACTTGGACCGGCGGAAGAAGCCTGACAAGAAACTTTGTGCCTGAGACGGGTCATTTGACACAAGCTGGGCGAATCTCTGCAAGTTTGCAGTTTGTTCACGCAGCAGCATACTCGCATGGTCCTCTTTGCAATCAGCAGAACTACGGGTGGGACCGGCAGGGGGAGGGAAAGGCTTAGGGAACTTAACAGCAACTGCCGAGCTGAAGTGCCCGACTGCCAGGTAAAGTACCTCACGGCACCAGGCGCAGGCTTCCAGCAATGAGCGTTTACGCTTGCTTGGCATAGAAGGCGCCTCTTGGACTTCAAGGTCTACTTGGTAAACCAAATCAGCAAGGCGCGACAGCATAGGCTCAATTTCTGTAAGTGCCTGCGACCACTTATCAGGGTGCGCCCAATGGACAATTGCAAGGTTGGGCTCACCTACTGGCGAGAAGAAACACATAATGTCCAGGCAGATGAGCTTATGATCAGAACCACCTATGTCATCGTCAAAAGTGACTGCACGCGGCGAACCTGGCAAACCCAAAACGACATCAATCGTGCTGCCTGAATCATGGGTGGGCTCAGGTCCATTAAGTGGTTCTAGCCCAGCAATGCGCACAGCAGATTCAATTCTGCGATCAGCTGGTGATTGCTTGCAATGGGAACAGTGACAACCCAGTTCATGGTCTACAATGTGGCTGAAATGCGAATTACCATCTCCCATCAAGTAACATCGCGCCTGACTGTGTTCAAGTTGTAACTGCTGAAATTGCTGCAATGCAAGCGCCCATGTGCCTTCATCGCCTCCCGGTGAGGCATAGAACCCCCCTATGATTGCATCAAACTCGGTGCTTCCAGTCGCAGAGACTCCAAGCCAAATCGTTCGTTCTGTCAGAAAATCTTCAAGGACACTCACCACGTGTAAGGCATCAGTTCTTATCAGCACTCCTATGGAACTCCAGCTAGCAGACCCGATTCCTAAGAGTTCAAAACGCGATTGCTCTGGCATTGGGGCGCCCTCAGGCCATCTGGCACTGGGCAAGAAGCAAATTGCTATGTCTTTATCAATAAGGTGTTCCATAATGTGCTGCAGCCTCCACCACAGGATCTCATTCGTTGCAACTGTTTGCAATCCAGTGCGCCCTGGATTCAAGCTACCCACCTGTAAAGACTTTGTTGGGCAAGCAAGAGGGTCGTCAAGACGCTGTCG